GCCGCCTGATGACTGTGGGGTATATTTATAAAGCAGCAAATCACCAATCATTCTCCAATCATTGGCCACTGAGCAGCCATTGGAAGATTGGCTCCCATTATATAATCCATTTGGTGGCTGAAATGACTCCCGCGGTTGGATTGGTTGAGTTAATTTCACCGTTGTTCGCCAGTTCCCGTTCCTCAGCGGCCAATCCAGTTCTCGGTAACGCCTGGGGTATATACTGAGGCTGATGTTACCCTCAGTGATAATTACTGCAGTGTCCCCAGTCCCGCCCAAAGGTCTGTCCCTGTCCCCAAGCTGCGGGCGCTCACATCCGCAGGGTCTGCTCCTCTCAATCTAGTCCATGTACAATGATAGGAATCTGATCCGTGGGGCTTTATTGTTCCATCAATGGTGAGCACACTCCACCCAGCTCCTCCTACTGACGCGTTTCACCCCCTACTGAGTCATGGACCAAGAGCATGTAGGGAGATGGGAGGATTTATATACATTTCAAACAACTGCCACTTAATCCTGAAAGAGGAAAATGTACCCAAATCTCTGAAATGGCAACAAAGACAACTTTAGAAATGTTTAGTAATGACAATCTACAAACAGATATTTCTAGATAGTTGCCGGCTTTGTGTTCTTTGTATTCCTTATTTTTCATTTTCCTCCCCATTCTTCTCACAGCGGCCATTTTAACTAAGGGCAGATAAATATATCTTCCTTTAATTCCTGGAACTCTGGCACATGTGACTAGGACATGTGACCATGCACATCATCTCAGGGGAGTAAAGATCCGTTCTATTCCAAGAGGTGAGTGCTGACTGCTGCAGGAACAAGGATCAGGTGAGTAGATCCTCTGTATTCCAGCCCCTAGACCAAAGTGAGCAGTTAACCCTTGTAGTATGGAGGTAGCCCCACTGCAAGGGTTCATTTTGTTAAAGGAGAACAATGGGGTCAGGGCTTTTCCCCATAGTTCTCCTTAGGGTAACGGGAGGACACAAACTAGCGTCCTCCCGTCACCCTAGGCTCAGTATACCGCATGCTGCTGCTCGCGGTATACTGAGACGCCGAAGCTGAGGCCCCATTCACACTGAGCGATTTATCGAGCGATTTTTGCAGCGATATCGCTCATATTTCCATGCGATATCGCTCTATGTAGCTTCTCCAATCCATTTCAATGGAGCTGTTCACATCTCGTCGCTCAATATCGCTTGTAGCTCGTCGCTGGTAGCTTGTCGCTCGTACATGACCCTTTTTTCCAGCGATTTCGAGCGATATTGCTCCTGATTGCATACAGCCCAATAGGAAAAAGTTGCGCGATGTCGCGCAATATCGCTCGTCGCGCAATATCGCTCGTCGCGCAATATCGCTCAAAATCGCGTGATTTTCATGTCGCTTAGTGTGAATGGGGCCTGAAGCGGATCCCGACAATTATGTCTGGATCCTCCCCGCTGCGTAAGTGACAGCTGGCTCTGCCAATCTAGAGGCAGAGCCAGCTGTACCCGCCCCCTCCCCCGTCCGTTCCGCCAGTCAGCGCTGGAGGATTGGAGCGGGAAGGGGGAATCCAGCCCCTCCCCTGTCACGGCAGAGAGCCGTGACAGGATCGAGAGGTGAGCAAACGCCGGTATGTGTTTGCTCACCTCCCGATCTACTGAGCCGACCTGTGACAGTCTCATTGTCACAGGTCGGCTAGAACTATGAGGTGAGTGAAAAGCACCCACCTCATAGTTCTCCTTTAATAGCTGAAGTTCCTCTTTAGGCCCGGTTCACATCTGAGCGGTCCGAGATCACCGTGCGTTTTTTTGCGCGATCCCAGAATCGCGCACATACACAAACGCACTTGCGGTGGCATTTCATTTTTAATATTTCCAACCCCAATTGCAGCCAGCAATATGTGGAATTGCATGCCACGGCTGCCGTGGTGCAATCGCACCCATAAAAAGACGCTCTTCGCTCTTTGCACAAAAAGGTGCATGAGCCTTTTTGCTGCGATTTCTGCGTGTATATGATCCCATTTAAATCAAAGGACATTGCCGCGAAAGCGCAGTTGTGAACCAGGCCTGATTTGTACAGTCAGAGATTGTACTTGGAGGCTGCAATGTGTATAGCTGACATTAGAACAACATTGCATTGTAACATTGTAGCTAGATCAGGAATGTCCGCGGGCTATTTAAAGGAGAACTATGAGATGAGTGATTTTCACTCACCTCATAGTTCTAGCCGACCTCTGACAATGAGACTGTCACAGGTCGGCTCAGTAGATCGGGAGGTGAGCGAACACATACCGGGTTCGCTCACCTCTCGATCCTGTCACGGCTCTCTGCCGTGACAGGGGGAGGGGCTGGATTCCCCTCTCCCCGCTCCGATCTGCCAGCGCTGACTGGCGGAAAGGACGGGGAAGGGGGCGGGTACAGCTGGCTCTGCCTCTAGATAGGCAGAGCCAGCTGTCACTCACGCAGCTGGGCGGATTCCGACGTCTAAGTCGGGATCCGCTCCGGGTGCGGCGTCTCAGTATACCGCGAGCTGTAGCTCGCGGTATACTGAGCTTAGGGTGACGGAAGGACGCTAGTTTGTGTCCTCCCGTTACCCTAAGGAGAACTATGGCGAAAAACACTGACCCCATAGTTCTTCTTTAATGGCAGATTTACATTGTGAGATCGACCATTCGCTCTGATCACTTTAATGAGTCGGATGTCCAAAGCAATCACTTGCTACATCAAATCAGCTAAATTCATCTACATCAATATCGATGTCAAAGGTTATTGAAAAAAAAAAGAACATGTTTCAGAATTGCTCCGTACACCGAGACTTGGAAACAATTGGTGTTTTTGGACCCATCTGATTACATTCGTCAAACATTGGTCATGAAAACGTTAATTTAGTAACTGCTGGATTGGAACATTGAAGCGATTGATTCACCCGCAGATCGGATCGATAAGTGAATGGCCAGCGTTACACGTTATGCGTTACATTGCTACATTGGACTCACAGTCATTTTGGTGTCACCCCCCTCTGAAAAGTCGGGCGCTCGGTCATGGAGCGAACGCCCGACAGTATCAGGAGAGAGGAGGGGACCCGGCGGCATACCTTATCCCGCCGGGTGACTGTCCCCTCCTCTCTCTGCCGGTGTCCATCACCAAGATGGCCACCGGCAGGTATCAAAATACTGCTGCAAGTGCGCAATGCCGTGTGTGCAGTGACGTCTCGGCGGGTGACACTCGGTTACCGCTCCTGGTGTCACCCAGCCTCGGGACGCCCCAGCGTGTATCTGCTGGTTGTATTATAGTTGCCACCTGTTTGGTTTTCACCCGGACAGTCTGGTTTTGGAGTCTTGTGTCCGGTGTCCAGCCAGCGGGCTTCCTGACACAAGACACTCAGTGCCGACACCGGCACTTTACAATTTCTGACAGATGTGGCTATCAAGGTCCTCGGCAAGCGCGATCTCGGGCAGCCGCATCTGCCTGGAACTGGATCTTCCTCTGAGCTGCAGGCTGCCTGTGCCTGTTAACAGACGCCAGCAGCTGAGAGGAAGATTTAGGTTTCAGGCAGATGCGGCTGCCCGAGATCGCGCTTGCCGGGGACCTTGATAGCCACATCTGTGATTTCCTCCTCCTCCGGCTCCCTGACACCATGCTGCCTGCCTGCGGACCCCTGGTGGGACACCATAGCCCAGAAAGCCCTGAGTCCCAAAATCATTTGTTGAGAATGAGGAACAACCTGGTAAGGAGAAAAAATTAATGCGGTATGTGGAGCACCCAAAAAGTGGGTGTGGCTAAATTGCACTGGATATTGGACGCAGTCTGAAATAATGTGGTTTATTGCAGTCTAAAGGTGGCCATACACTGTACAACCCAGACAAAAGTCTTGTAAAGTAATTTTAAAAACGTACGATCTGCCCATCTTGGACAGGCATATCGTACTTGCGATCATCGCAAGCCCGCCCTGCTGAGGGGCGGGCTTCCGATGACTGCAATGCTGAACGTGCAGTGTGCGCGTGCAAAGGAAACGCACGTTGAGGCATGACAATGCATTTGCCTAAGGCCCCACTCACACTAAGCGACACTTACCTCGAGCGGATTTCCGCGTGGCGAGATAGCGCGACTGTTCGGGCGAAGTTCTGGCGACGATCGCACGACCTTCACCGTCGGGCTGCATGCAAAAATTGAAAAATCGCGCGACATCCGCGGGAAAAAGGGTCCTGCACAAGCGACGCGCGACGGGCGACATGGAGCTGTACAATGGAACAGCTCCATTGAAAATCATTGGACGGCGACTTCTCGCGATATCGCGCAGCAAATATGCGCAATATCACGGCGGAAATTGCGCGATTAAACGCCCAGTGTGAATGGGCACTTATGCTACAAAAAAGAAAAACTCTACGTATAGACCTTCATGGGCCCCCCCAAAAAAAAATGTCACCCGGTTAGGGTTTAGATCTTTAATAATATTGATGGACCTGCGTCTTTATTCAACCTCAAATACTATGTAACTATATTGAGAACGTTTATTGGTACATATCAAGGTTCAGGGCAGCCGGGTCCCTTACATGACTATCGGCCGACGGTGAAGGGCAAGGAGGCGGAGGCCAGCCCTAGCAGCGCAGGGCCCCAGCATTGCCGCTCCAGCGGCTTTGAGGCAAGCTAGGGCCCCATCAGCGACGCTGCTCGTCTGATGTCAGACTGGCCGGAAGTGATGTCACGTTAGTGATGTGACGTCACTTCTGGCTGGTCCGGTGGCAGACGAGGCCATGTGTGCAGGTAAGAGAAGCTAGGAAGGAAGGAAAGGAGGTGAGGGATGCAGCACTGACCAGCCACATTGTGACAGCTCGTCTCTCAAGCACCAACACTTTGTCCCAACGCCGACCTGACTGCCAGCGCCTCGTCAGGGTGCAAATCTGGAGAGCCGTCAGGAGAACCCGGACAGCAAAGTCCAATCTACGGGAACTCCAGGGCAAGGCACCAGCGGAGAGGAAACATTGTAACATTTCAGAGAAACTCCGGCGCAGGAAGATGAAGCTTTGTGACAGCAGGCTGCACATCAATGAAATTAGGCAGCAAGGAAGAGAGGGGTAACGGGGTCACGGGAGCGAAGCAGAAGGACTGAAAAGGCAACATGGCACGGTGGCCCCTTTCTGGATTCCTCGCCGTCCTGGCCGGGCTCCTGCTCTCCTTGCAGAGGTAACTTTCTTTTTTGTTCTTCTCTGTAATACAACCTTATATCTGTACATGAGCTAAGCCTGCATTGTGCACCACGCACACCCTTCTCTTCTGCAGAGGAGCTTGCAATCTAATTCCTCCACCAACATAAACCAGCAGGTCTTTCACCTGTTGTGTAGAAAGAGTCTACAGCATGCCCTGCTCTTTGCAGCGAAGAAGCTTGCAATCTAATTCCCCTCGCCAACATTACCTGGCAGGTCTTTCGCCTGTTGCCCGGAAGGAGCCTACAGTGTGCACCACTCTCACCACTGTAGAGGAGACCTTGCAGCATGCAACACTCATGCCGTTCTCTTCGGCGAAGGAGCTTGCAATCTAATTCCTCTGCCAACATTAACCAGTAGGTCTTACATCTGTTGTGTCGATAGAGTCTACAGAGTGCACCGCTCACACCGCTCTCTTCTGCAGAGGAGCTTGCAATCTAACACCTTCAGTCTGACACTGGCAGCTCTTTCGCCTGTTGCATGGAAAGACCCTACAGCATGCACCACTCTCACCGCTACAGAGGAGCTTGCAATCTAATGCCCCCATCAACATAAACCATCAGGTCTTTTGCCTGCTGGTCAAAAGAGCCTACAGCATGCACCCCTTACACTGCCCTCTGCTACAGAGGAGCTTGCAATCTAGCGCCCCCGCCAACGTAAAGCGGCAGGTCTTTTGTTTGTTGCGTTGAAAGATCCCGAACGCAATCCGTTGTGAAGACGACTCTCAGACGATTCTTCTTTGAATTTTTTTTCTCCTATTCTCAGAAATTTTCCAGCACGTTGATAGGATTCCACATCTGATATACCGTCTTGGTTTCTTTTTTACTGCGTCACCACGCTTGTTTTGTCATCAGATATTTGTATGTTTTACTCATTTATTTGGCCCTTACATGGACTCCACAAGACTTTAGTACATAGACACAGGTATGCCATTGCTTGTACTCCAAGGAGCTTACAATCTAATGCTGATATCACTGTTACATACAAAGTAAGACCAATTAGCCTATCAGTAGATTGAGGAAAGAAAGTCCATACAAACTTAGGGGGGGTCATGCAAACTCCATGCAGGCGCCCTGAGTGCTAATCCAAAACCAGATTACTGCAGGCGATGGACCTTTGCAACATATGGTTTGCAATGCACCTGCAGATATCCCTCAGGAAGGAGGCTGCCTGTGCCCACATGGTACACCGCTGCAGGCATTTGCGATCTTCTTCCTGATCTAGTGTGGCACAGACACTGCCAGAGACTCTTTCCCTTTCCTGCAGAGAAAAGGGAATGGTGGATGAGTGCTGGAATAGATGCTGCATGCTAGAACTAACATTCCTAACGTTCTGATCCCCAAACATCAATCTGCCGCACTGTTTACTTTCAGGTTGCGTAGGGACACCCTAAAGCCGGCCACATATGTGACAATTTCCTCATGCAATCCAGTATAGTTACAGAATGTGCGGTGAGATATTTTCACCCCACGGGATCAATTCACAAAGTGAACACCCCAAAAGTGACAGCTGATCCAAAAAGGATCGATAATGGCTGCAAATAAAGTTCCTCATCGCCGTGTTACTGGTTCGTGAATTGAGCCCATCATCACAACAAACGTTTTAAAAAAATGGACATTGGGATTGCGAGGAACAGATTGTAAGATTTGCCCCAACTGCAGGTAAAGAAACATAAAGATAC